TCATGGAAAAAGCGTTACTATTTCGTTTTGCCTTTACTTAAGGTTATGTAAGTTTTATTTTGACATTTGACACTTTAATATTTCATTTAAAAAAAAAAATATAACAATTATATTAACAAAATAATCCTAAACTTGTTAGTAAATGTACACATCAATTAAAATTTAATATGAACAAATTGTTAATTTTGTATTGATTTCGCTTACTAAATGTCATAAAAAGCGTTACTATTTAGATTTGCCTTCACTTAAGGTTATGTAAGTTTTTTTTGACAGTTGTATGTAGTGTCCTGAAAGATTTGGCGCTTTCATATTTCATTTCTTTAATACAATTATTAGAAGAAAATACTATAGTAAAATGATAATCTTAAATAATGAGAATCCTACTAGTTCTGTCATAGTTTTTGATTCATTCATAATTGGAAAGATCGAGTAATTAATTTATAAAAATTGTAAATATTTATATTGTTTTGTTTACAAGCTTTTTAAAAATGAAATAGTAACGCTTCTTTTATGACACTTGAATAATATTTGAAATTATTGAATATTAACCAATAGATTCATTGATAATTTTAATAAATGTTCTATAATAAACTGTAAAACTTGGATAATCCAATTGGATAATAACATACAAACTATAAATTGTATTTTATTTCTTCTTGATTTACAATTTTGATTAAGTTTTGCATTAAGATTCTTATAAATTATTACTTTGATGCCTTTCGATGCATATATTTCTTCAGTTGCACCGGTTAATAAATTAGCCCAGATTGCGCACTGCAAAGTCCCCGTAAATCATGTTTTTATTACGCTATCTTTACGACTTAATAATTTAATGCAAACTTACCATTACGAGAAAAAAAAATATATAATAGTGAGAAAACGGTGCATTTATGCCCATTGTTACCTCGATTTATTACCGAGAAGGGAAGCAATAAACAACGCCGTTTTGACTCAATTGAAATATCAGTAAACAATAAAATATACATCAAGAGTCACAACATTTTGATTACTTTTAACAATATTTTTTGAATTTAAGTGATTTTAGTTTATTCTAATCAAATTTAATTACTCTAATATCGTAGTAGATTTTTTAATATTTGTCTAAAGAATTTGTCTAAAAAAAATCAACAAAATAGACAAAAAAGGTTTAATCCTTTTATCCTAATACTCAATCAATCAATTTCAAAAGATTGTCTCTGTTTAATGTAAATTATGTATTAAGTATTAAAGAGGATTTGTTACTATTTAAAGTTTAAATTCTAAACCCTAATATAAAACATATCAATAATCAACAAATTTCTTGTAATAATTTCCCGTGATTCATTTTTGTTTATAAATCAGTATTAAATAGTTAAGAAAACTTGCATCAAGTGAAATGTAAATTTGAGAGACATCAATAATTTTCTTGTAATAATTTCAGACGGTTTCAATTAATTAGCGTCATGTTTGATGACCATTCTTGGATGGTGCGTATTAACAAGAAGCGATATGGCGTAATCCTTGTAAAGCGATGTAATCTCGAACGTCGTTGATTCCGACGAATCTCTCCACTTTTAAGAGGAGATTTACATTTCAGAGAGATGTAACATTTAAGTGATTGCATAATCCGCGGCGTTGGCTCGCCGAGTTTTCCCGAGGAGTAATTAAAACAAGAGGGCCAAAAAAAAAGAAGAATCAAAGAAAGAAAACAGCGCGCGCGGAGATTGCGATGGGAAATATGAAAGAAGTTGCGGCGAGATTTAGTAGATCAGCAATTATAGATATGACTTTTTCTTGAAGTCCTGAAGGATGGATGGATGGATGAATAGATGGAACGAGAGAAGCTTGCGAAAAGTTAGTTTTTAATGAATTCCTGACACATAAAGTCGCGAGGGCGCGACGTCATTTCCATAAATTTCGAACGGGTCTCTTCTTCCTCTCATCTCCTTCGAAGAGCACAAAAAAATAAATAAATATATAATGCATGCATACGCACACCCCTCTGACGGATTCCGATGACAGTTTTTTTTTTCGCTGTTCGTTGTTGTAAATTCCAGCAACAACAAAAAAACTGATCTAAATGCAAAGGAGAAATTAATACATACATAATGAATTCGATCGTGCTCCACGTTTTAATTAAAATTTTCAATTACTAGATGTGACGTGCATGATGCAAGACATAAACCATATGCTTTTCAAAACATTTTTACTGGTAATTTACTGCTCGTGTTTTTTTACTTTTATTATTTTTTTTATTTTCAGTTTTATAACAACTCGATTGCATTTTGTGAAATGACATTTATAATTGTCAAATTTTAATTAACACAAGAAAATATCAATATTGATGGTTTACATCAGCGGTTTCCAAACTTACAATTGTAATTTTAAAAAAATGGAATTTATGTTAATCATGAAAAATTTGAAGTATTGGTAAAGTTTACCCAATATTTACTCTAAATTTATATGTAATGTGCATGATGCATAACATAAACCATGTTTTTCATAAAAATTTTTACTGGTAATTTACTGTACGTGTTTTTTTAATGATTATTATAATAACTCTACATATCAATTCCATTTTGTGAAGTGACATTTATAATTGTCAAATTTTAATTAAAAACTGATGACATCAATAATGATTGCCTAGGTCAGTGGTTTCCAAACTTACAATTGTAATTTAAAAAAAAATATTGTAATTTATGTTAATCATGTAAAAATTTGAAGTATTGGTAAAGTTTAGCTAATATTTACTCTAAATTTATATATAATGTGCATGATGCAGGACATAAACCATGTTTTTCATAACATTTTTACTGGTAATTTACTGCACGTGGTTTTTTTATGTTTATTATAATAACTATACATTTCAACTGCGTTTTGTAAAATGGCATTTATAATTGTCAAATTTTAATTAACACAAGAAAATATCAATAATGATTGTTTATATCAGCGGTTTCCAAACTTACAATTGTAATTTTTTAAAAAATATTGGAATTTATGTTAATCATGTAAAAATTTAAAGTATTGGTAAAGTTTAGTTAATATTTACTCTAAATTTATATGTAATGTGCATGATGCATGAGATAAACCATGTTTTTCAAAACATCAATAATGATTGCTTAGATCAGTGGTTTCCAAACTTGGAGGTTCGAAAGAAAATATTAGAATTATAATTTTTCTTTTTAAATTGGAATTTATGCTAAATATGAATCTAACCAAACCAAAAACCCTAACTCTCTCTCTCAACACAGATGAAATTTTTGAAAAAAAAAACAAACTGTTTTTATAAAGGGGGCGCAGTTTGGAAACAAAAAAGTTTGAGAATCACTGATCTAAACGATTCTCTAAAATTTTAAAAAACCCCTGAAGAATAAGTATGTGTAAAAAAAACCTCCATTCTCATCAATCATCAAATTTTCTGCAACCCCCACTTTGAGAATTATTGGTTTAGATCAGAGGTTCCCAAACTTTTTTGTGTCGTAGACCCCTTGCCATGTTTTCAATTTTGGGTAGACCCCTACTTACCTGATATTGATTTTTTGTAAATTTATTATTTATATTGGGACATCTTTATAATTATTAAGATCTTTGCTCTGAGACTGCGCGTATGCTTGTAAAAGATGATTTGTATATCATTATGTACAGGTCTTTACAAGTTCAAAATGTATTGCGACCACAAAGCGAATGCCTACATCCTAAAACTTACACAATTTTATAAACATATATAATATTTTTTTTATTTCATATGTACTTTTATAAATAATGTATATGTCTTTATATTATAAGATAGTATACATGTGGACCCCCATTTTCATTTCATGGACCCCCATATTTTTTCGCTGACGTAGACCCCTTGCAGGTTGTCATAAACCCCTGGGGATCGATATAGACCACTTTGCGAATCACTGGTTTATATGATACTGTTAGAATATTTACGAATTATTTATTTAAAATTTATAATGATGAAGATTTTTGCATTGTGGAAAATATATTTGTTGTGAAAACATTTTTAATGTGAAAACAGGAAACAAACTAAAAAAAATAGTATAATTAAGGTCTATAAATAAACTAAATTCTGTACTTTTTTCAGCAGAAAAATAAAGCCATTAGAGGGGGACGTTTTTGTTCGACTGTAACTAGCTTCGGCGATATATAGAAACCGGAAATGGCTCGTACATGTCATTTTTTAATTTTAATGTGAATCGAGTGAGAAAGAGAGCGGAAGGGTAAGGGAGTGAATGAAAGAGAGAGAGAGACTGGCTCGGAAGTTATTGTATACATTTTTTTCAGGTTGTTGCTGAAAATGGACTTAATATGCTCAGCACGCGAGCGCCCCCTATTCATATTAATGTCACATTTTATATTTCGCCCGTGCACGGAAATGCACTTAGAGTATTTCCATTCAGTTCGGTTTTTCGCTGCGCGGAGCATACACCACCACCCCTTTGCCTTTACCATCACACCCCCGCCGTATTTCCCTCTCGTATCCATCATTATTTCCTTGTTCCGCCCATTTAGAATACTTCCGTGCGGTCCTGCTGTTTCCCCATGCGAATTTATTTAGAATTAATTCGGGGCGCACGAATTAATTCGATTCCGTGCGAGCACATACAGATCGCAGTGTTTGTATGACCCGCAGAAAGTAATTTGTTGATGCCGCGCGTTCGCGCGCGCCCTTCCCCAAACTCTCTCAAACCTCCCCCCAAACACACACACACTATCCGCTGGTAACGGGGGGAAAATGTAATAATGGCGGGACCGGCGCGAAATCCCAATGCACAAATGTCATTGCACACAAATATGGAGTTAATAACCAATCAAAATGCATTAATTCCGTATATATTGGGAGCACGAGCCGACCAGCCTGCCCTGACTTTGGTCGGTGTCCCTCTGCATATATAAATCCCGGATCAGTCGGGTCGTCAATTTTCAAGAAGAAAATACGGTTTTTTTTTTGTTATATTTTCTTCGCAGTCGCCTATCATCGATCTACAAACTACTATACAAATCTGTATACTCACCCCCCTTTCACAGCGAGGGAGAAACGCAGACAGCGCAGATCGCAAAAGTTTACCTATAAAAAGAAAGAGAAAACATTATACATTAATCATCATAATATTTTTTTATATAAGTACACATAGATAAAAAAAAAGTAACTAAATCAATTGATAAAATAAATTATTACAAGGCAAAGGACGAAAAAATATAAAAGAAGGTTTTAAATTGAACAAACTTAGTTATAAATGATTATTTCGATTTGCTATGAGAGAAAAACAATAATTTCATTATGTCACGTTTTCATAAAATGCAATAAAACAAATGTTTTTGTAATAACAAATAAACGCAATAAATTGTTTTTTTGATATATTTCACAATGAAATAACAAATAAATTCAGCAAATTAATAGAAGAAATAATAATTTATTATACTAAGCAAGGCTTACCACAAGGATCAATTCTAGGTCCAATATTGAAGTATTTCTTAATAATTTTATTTAATTATTTAAACAAAGGTTATAACTATTTCTAGTAAGCTACTACTTTTGCCATTTTGGAATTAACAATAAAAAAAATGCAAATAATTTAACTTAGTTGAATAATTTCTACGTTGAAAAATCTTTGATTGTGTATGAATATTTTATTATTAAAATAAAAATGTTATGGATATTGTATTTTGTAATAAAACGAGTGAACAGTGGTCTGTTATTCATGGATATATCAGCAAGTGTTTCACATTACAATCTGAATGTAAAGTGCAGTACTTTGGCCACCCTCGACAATGCACAGCAGTATATTAGAGACAGTCAACCTTGATTTTGTTTGCCGGCTGCGAGCACGTACTCTGGCGACTGTTAGTTCTCAGTAGAAAGACTCGTTTTCAGCTCTTTAGTCATTCCAATGTTCAAATAAATACATCGGTTCTTACGAGTCAACGGTCCATTCAACACATTTACTTCATTGTACATTCATTTACAAATTGTAACTACAATCATTCTTTTCCAAAGCAAAAAAATACTATTTTACAATTTTATGAAACCAATAAGAAAAAAAACATCAAAATCATCATCATTAAAAACATGTTCATTTTTAAAGATTTAATACATTTTCTTTAAAAAAAAATGTTTGTATTTAAATACAATTATTTAATAAATTAGTTTTCTACATGAAAAAAAAAATAAAGATCTTATTGATTTTTTTTTATAAAATCTAAATCTGTTATTGGATTTTTCTGTAAATAATGAAAATTCGATCAGTAACAATTGACGTTAAAGTATCGATTTTCCGGGTTTTTATCGAGGTAAAACGTCCAATAATTAAATGCGGTAAGCCGCGATATTTCAGTGCCCTGGAAACATTCGTCCCTAAAGGCTCGTTACTCTCATCGAGTTCATACAACATTTATTATTACTGCGGCATATATCGTGTAAAGACCTTAATTACTTTAACCCGAATCCAACATCCTTCAATGCACGCTTCATATCCAAAAGCGAAGAGAATGAGAGAGAAGGAGCACAGCATTAATTTCGCACGATATAATCTTTGCTCTTTCGAACTATCACAGCTGAATGCTTTTACCATTCGCTAATTGGAAATTAGCTTTTTAACAAGGTGAAGTTCCCAGGAAAGAAAGCAAACGCAAAATCAATGAAAACTCATGTTTCACTTCATTACAGCATTTTTCAAACAGTTTTCTTATAATAATAAAAGATGCACAATTGGGAATTAATTAAAGCTTTGTACATCATTTTTGTATTGATATAAACCCTATTTTTCTTAAGAATAAACATGTTAGAAAATGTGACGTTAAATCGCATTGACTACAAATAATATGTTTTTTCTTACTTCCTTATACTACCAATAGCAATCTAAAAGTAACCATGATAATATATAGTAAAATCCTATTAATAGTTTCAAAAAATCAAACACAAACAAGATATATTCTTAACATATAGATAACGATCAGCTACAAAGCTCATAAGCTCAAAGATGTTTATTTTTGGCTTTGTTTGTTGCTGACATCGATTAGGAAGATCACTTTGGATGTCAAACGCGCGCTGAAAGGATCCGCAAACAAATGGAAACTGCTTTATTTGCGAACGCAATTACCGTTTTGATTCTCTCGCCTTTTGCACGTTAATTTGCGATTATTTCGAGACTAATGTTTACGCGTTTCTTGTTTCTGTCTTTAATTCTTCGGTCCCACATGTTTCCCTATATATATTCATATGAATTTTAGTGCGAAACTTGCATCGACCGGAATCACTTCAACGGCGGACGATAAAATCGGAACTTCGGCTTCGGGAACGCTCGAAATAATCTGAAATAATCTGCACAGTAAAATTTTATTGATATTATCTTTCGAGATGTAATCTCGTGGATTCTCGCAGCCAGATTTCCAAAGTTTTATTACCAATCATAGAAGATATATTGCATATTTTTTTTTATTTTGAGATAGTATTAATCTAAGCTTTGAAGATTTGGTGACATATTGATTGACTATACAATTATTATATGGAAATTATAGAGGAAATTTATGAGAATTATTTTCAGTATAATAGGAATGTTAATTCTACACGTTATATGAGACTCGAATATTTTGTCAGGCGTACACTGTTACAATTAAATATATTTGGTATCAAATAATGAAAAATTTCATATGACATCAAATTGACTAAGTACAGTAGTTGGTGCACCTGACAAATATTTATGTCTCATTGTGTAGTTACTTAATTATGTTACAACTTTACTGCTTTGCAAAAAACGAACCTTTCGAATAATCCAAAAATAATAGTAACCAAATAGAGTGAAAAAAATATTTAAGTTGGTAATCCTGAGAAATATTTATAACTCATATAGTGTGGATACAGCATTACATTAAACATAGAAGTATCAATTGATATATGAAATATGAACATTGTATAATCATGCATTTCTGAATTAAAGTAGAAACCCATGATGTATAGACAAATAATGTATTAAGTATATAACCAAGACCTTTTTAAAATTTCGTCATATGACCGCTCACGGTAGGAATTGGTATACATGAAATGTTGATATGTTTAGTGTAGTATTGATTTACTTAATTTTCAGTAAGAAAGTTAGTATTAGTAAATTAATACATCAATTTGTAATATATTGAGACTATGAAAAAATTGTACATTACATAATTAAAATGGAAACCTATGACAAAAAAAATATAATATTGACTGAATGACTAATGTAATTTTTTAAGTTGGTATAAAGTATAGAATTAAGATGTAAGTTAAATTACCAACATTAAAACTTTAAGAGAAATATTTATAACTCAAGACAGATGTAGTATTGTGAAGTATGATGCATAGTAAGAAAAATGTACATTACAGCAATGAAGTTGAAAGATATAAGGAAGAGTACAAACACTTTTATCAAAAAATAAAAGAATGACATCATTAGTGACAGGCAATGTCGAGCAGTTTTAAAAAAAAAAGTATCAGACAAAGTGTAAATAGTACAGAGTAGGAGCAAACAAAGTCCATAGTTATCAGTAATACAATAAGTGTAAACAGATATAGAAGGTATGTATTTAGTGTGGCTTGTGTGAAGATTAAATATTAAACTCTCCACGTATGACGGAAGACAATTTACATAGTGCATGCACGCATTCGTACTCCTCGTACACAGACATATACATACGTACATGCACACTCCATGTAATCGTCGTGAGTCAGAACTCACAGGAGTTTATCTCGACTAAACAAACACTTAAACGGCCGCATTCTCCACTTATTATTTCATCCACGAACGAGCTGAACTGATATTGGATGCTGGATTTTAGCTGTGTGTGTGGGGGACTTCTACATGTATGAAAAACGATCAAACGAGTTCTTTGTGTGCGTGTATGCATATATACATGTGTGTGCATGTGGCGGCATGCAAATGTGCTCAACTTAACCAAATCTCTGATCATTCGATGAAGCTGCTTCCCAATTTAGCACCTTTGCAAATCCGAACGTCGAATCTAATAATTTTAGCAATTAAGTACACACACACACATACCAATACTGGTTAGAACTCTGTAGGCATCCGCCGATACGATCAATACTAAACCATATACAATTTACATTCCGCCTCTATGCATGATATTATTCAATAGAAAGTCCCATTGAAATGCTGAATTTATTACAGGCCAGACTCCCCCGTCTTTAATCTATGAATAATACCACCGTTTTATGATTAATCTAATGCCTCATTCTTGTACGAAGCATGCTATCATGTCCAAATTTATTATCGTCTTCTAGTAACTCAATCATTGCACAAATAACAACTTCATAGTTAAGCATTAACACAATAATCATATATCTATAATATTTTATTAGAAAACTTCAATCTTAAATATACATAGATCATAGTTTCCTTATGATATTATTATATGAACTTTAGACTTAATACTTTTATCAAACATTTGGTTACAATAGAATTTATTATGTAGTAAAAGTGCATTAACAAAAATAATTTGTAAACATGATTTATGTGAAAATAAATAATTTCGTAAATCTACATATCTTTTCTGACATTCTTGTGATAATTTGTTTTTTTTTAAAGATTTATTCTATATTAATTTACTCATTCCTTCTCACACTTTGGAATTCAAACTCATTCAAACAATACAAATTTTATCGTACCAAAATGTGCTTGGTTTAAATATTTATATAATAATTATATGATAAAATTCTCAGACTAAATATTTATGATTATCCGGTTGTTAACACAGGAAATTGTTCTTGCATCAAAGACATTTTTTTTTATATATTTTATTATAATATAATGCACAGGATGAAGTGGAGGAGTGGTGAACATTTAGATTAAGTTCCAAATTGACGCGACCTTCTAAAATCTCGATTGAGCCTTGACCCGACCCGTCTTCAGAACGTAAAAGGGGTCGAATCGGCTCGGATTTCGCATTCGGATTAAGCCATAGTACAGAGTGGACTTTGGGGGCTCTCTCAATGGTTGCATCTGACATCATATAGAGCAGAACGAAACCGAATTTACTCTCAATACCAAAATAATCAAAAGCACCTTAATGAAGGCTATC